CCCTCCTCGGGCCCCGCGCCAATACATCCGTGTCCTTCCTATGTGGGGGGCTCCAGAGCTGGACGCAGGACTCCAGGTGGGGTCTGATGAGAGCGGAGTAAAGGGGCAGCATCAGGATGTCAGATGTCTGAATCACAACTAATTGTACACTTTATTAGTACCAAAGTTGGATTTCTGTGTTTTAACCACGCATTCTGAAACTGGCTTGTACGCGGTGCGCCGAGCTGACTCACGTACCGTTCCTGGGAGCTGGCACCGCACAACGAAGAAATGAAAACTTCTGTTCGCAATGCAGAGGAAGAAGCTGATGGCAGCGTACGTTTTTCCCCCTCTGCCGTGGGTCTGAGTGGCCAGCAGTGGCCGTTAAATCTAGGGCAGCTGGACTGCTGGCTCCAAGGTGACGCACGCCGTCCTGCCTTCCACACTGCAACAGAAGACACCACCGTAACGCGCACTGTGCTGATCCCCAGCCCCGCCGTCACTCAGGTGTCTCCTCTTTTTCTTTTCCTCCCGTATAGGTGTTGTATCCAGATGGACAAGCACAAATAATCCATCCTAAACCAGCTGACTTTCGCAATCCTGGTCCCGGCAGGCACAGGCTGATAACTCAGGTTTACCTCTCGCACACGGCCTGGACAGGTACAGTTAATGATACAAGTCTGCGTGATTGCAATGTGCAGTGTGTGTGTAGTGATAGGACAAGGGGGAAGGGCCGTAAACTAAAAGAGGGCAGATTTAGATTATTAGGAAGAAATAAAGAGACTTTAGAAATGCTCTCCTAGGTATTTTTGTGGCATTTGTTTTAATGGAGATTGGCAAGCACGAATCCTTGTGAACGGATACCAGACTCGAAGTGAGGTTTGGGGTTCGTTTAGCTTTGGGTCATCCAATGGTGACCTTAGAGCAGCCTTCCAGTACCTGAAAGGGCCTACAGAAAGGATGGAGAGGGACTTTTCACAAGGGTGTGCAGTGATAGGACAAGGGGGGAAGGCTCTAAACTAAAGGAGGGCAGATTTAGATTAGATATTAGGAAGAAATTCTTCCCCATGAGGGTGGTGAAACACTGGCACAGGTTACCCAGAGAAGCTGTGGCTGCCCCCTCCCTGGCAGGGTTCAAGGCCAGGTTGGATGGAGCTCTGAGCAACCTGGTCTGGTGGAAGATGTCCCTGCTCATGGCAGGGGGGTTGGGACCAGATGATCTTTAAGGTCCCTTCCAACCCAACCCATTCTATGATTGTGTTGCTACGCCTTCCTAAGATAAGAGTGCGTCTTGCTCGACCCCAGTCTCCTGCACGTCAGAAGTACGTGCCTACAGCCGGGAGTTTTGGGGGTCCTGGAGTCTGCAGCTGTTGGCAGATGCCGCCCGTAGCGTCACTCAGCTTTCTGTCGGCGCAGCCTTCGAGGAGCTGCGTCTCCCTGTCTGACAGGGCGCTGCTGCTGCGTAGGTGCCTCGAGGGGCTGCTCTCACGGGAGGGAAGGCGCTCGCGACGCGGTGGGGGCTGCCTGTGCAGTCGTCCGGCGCTGGGAGCCTGTACATGGGAGCAGGTACTCAGGGTGAGGTCACCCGTTTCTGCGCAGAGCAGGATCAGTGGCAGGAGCTGGGGCTGCGTCCCCGCTCGAGGAGTCACGGTAAGCTGACTCCCTGCAACTCATTGTTCCAGAGCTGACAGGGGAGAGCACCTTTGGAACTGTGTGTGCTCAACAGTGTAACTTCACTGCTGATTAAACTTTCACCCTTCTAATGCCCTAAAAACACGCCCTTTAGCTCTGACGAGACGTGCGTCTCCGACATCCACGTTCAGTCTCGGCTGGCGTTCACACTTCCCCGTGAGAGCGCTTCAGCAACTGGCTTGTGGACCTGAAGCAACAAAAGCAGAGACCATTTGTGCACAGCTCCCTTTGTCCTGTTTTCTTTTAATCCTTTCACATTTATTCAAATGTGTGGGGTTTTTTTTTCTGAGCAGTTATTAATAGGGTTTGGTGATTTTTTTATTTCTTTTTTTAACAGGGTTTTGTGTAGTGCAATATTCTTTCATGTACTCCTCCTTATGTAGCATTTCCACCGTGTACTCACTCATCCTGCGATCTTTGCTTCATTTTGAAGAAGGAGAAATGGTTTTGTTTCTAGGACTGGAAGTGTCTGGATTTAAAGCTCCATCCTGTACTGGGGGAGCTGAATCATAGAATCATTAAGGTTGAAAAAGACCTCTAAGATCATCAAGTCCAACCGTCACCCCAACACCACCGTGCCTGCTAAACCGTGTCCTGGAATCAAGTCCTTGTTTCTGCAGCGTTCACTGGAAGGGCGCTTTAAGCGTGGCCCTCAGGGATTCTGTTCTGGCGTCTCCCCTAGGTGCTATTTTAACTGTTAACGGGTGCAGAGGAACCTGATGAAGTTCAACAAGGGCAAGTGCAGGGTCCTGCACCTGGGGAGGAAAAACCCCAGGCACCAGTACAGGCTGGGGTGGACCTGCTGGAGAGCAGCTCTGTGGAGAGAGACTGGCAGTGCTGGTGGACGACAGGCTGACCATGAGCCAGCAGTGTGCCCTGGCTGCCAAGAAGGCCAATGGTCTCCTGGGGTGCATTAAGAGGAGTGTGGCCAGCAGGTCGAGGGAGGTTCTCCTCCTCCTCTCCTCTGCCCTAGTGAGGCCCCATCTGCAGTACTGTGTCCAGTTCTGGGCTCCCCAGTTCAAGAAAGATGA